TCTAGTCTATAATCTAGTCCATAGCTAGTCTATAGTCTAGTCTATAGTCTAGTCTATAGTCTAGTCTATAGTCTAGTCTATAGTCTAGTCTATAGTCTAGTCTATAGTCTAGTCTATAGTCTAGTCTATAGTCTAGTCTATAGTCTAGTCTATAGTCTAGTCTATAGTCTAGTCTAGTAGTCTAGTCTATAGTCTAGTCTATAGTCTAGTCTATAGTCTAGTCTATAGTCTAGTCTATAGTCTAGTCTATAGTCTAGTCTATAGTCTAGTCTATAGTCTAGTCTATAGTCTATATCTAGTACTATAGTCTATTCTATAGTTAGTCATAGTCTAGTCTATAGTCTAGTCTAATTAGGAGTAGTGTAGTCTATAGTCTTAATTTATAGTCTAGTCTAAAGTCTAGTTTACCTATTGCTTAATAAATATAAACTACCACCCTTCACAGTGTAGCGTACACAACAGACAAATACGAAAAAATATGACTACAAAAAGAAGAAAAAAGAAATTATTATAAATTTGCATTTTTTTTTCAGCCGACATATAGAAATTTTATATTTTAAATGAGGTGAATGAATTAATAATTTCGAAATTGTAAGAAAAAAAATTAATAAAATATTATTAAATTGAAATGCAGACTTTAATTCTATTCCCTGTAAATTACTACAAAAACAATTATATTATAAAACTGTGATTGATAGTGTGTTTTGAAATCAACTCTAAAACCATATGGTTGTTATGAATAATACATTAGTTATTAATACTTAGAATTACTTATGACTCAATTAAATAATTCTAAGTCAAAATCAAATTAATAAAAACCTTATTTGTTGTTAAATGGTGCCGTTTGGTTTAGTTGTTTATAGAATTTTTATTTAGCTTATTATCATAATTAAATATTTAATAAATTTTGCAAAGATATAAATTGTAAGTGTAAACAGCTATTGTTGCAGTTTGTTTTTCTAATAAAACAAATTGCTGTTAGTTAGAAAATGAAATTACAAAGGAAAAACTAAGATTAGAGCGATGAAATCTTGTATTTATTCTCTTAATGTTAATATATTATTGTGATCTCAGATCAAGATATACGATCACGTAAAATCGTCTTACTAAATGAATATTCCGATTTTTCGTTTAGTGGCGTCTATGTCGAGATAGTAGATTTCCATTTGAAAATCCTTTCAGCTATGTATATGTCATCGACTAGACTATAGACTAGACTATAGACTAGACTATAGACTAGATTATAGACTAGACTATAGACTAGACTATAGACTAGACTATAGACTAGACTATAGACTAGACTATAGACTAGACTATAGATTAGACTATAGACTAGACTATAGACTAGACTATAGATTAGACTATAGACTAGACTATAGACTAGACTATAGACTAGACTATAGACTAGACTATAGACTAGACTATAGATTAGACTATAGACTAGACTATAGACTAGACTATAGACTAGACTATAGACTAGACTATAGACTAGACTAAAGACTAGACTATAGACTAGACTATAGACTAGACTATAGACTAGACTATAGACTAGACTATAGACTAGACTAGACTAGACTAGACTAGACTAGACTAGACTATAGACTAGACTATAGACTAGACTATAGACTAGACTATAGACTAGACTATAGACTAGACTATAGACTAGACTATAGACTAGACTATAGACTAGACTATAGACTAGACTATAGACTAGACTATAGACTAGACTATAGACTAGACTATAGACTAGACTATAGACTAGACTATAGACTAGACTATAGACTAGACTATAGACTAGACTATAGACTAGACTATAGACTGGACTATAGACTAGACTATAGACTAGACTATAGACTAGACTGTAGACTAGACTATAGACTAGACTATAGACTAGACTATAGACTAGACTATAGACTAGACTATAGACTAGACTATAGACTAGACTATAGACTAGACTATAGACTAGACTATAGACTAGACTATAGACTAGACTATAGACTAGACTAGACTATAGACTAGACTATAGACTAGACTATAGACTAGACTAGACTATAGACTAGACTATAGACTAGACTATAGACTAGACTATAGACTAGACTATAGACTAGACTAGACTATAGACTAGACTATAGACTAGACTATAGACTAGACTATAGACTAGACTAGACTAGACTATAGACTAGACTATAGACTAGACTAGACTATAGACTAGACTAGACTATAGACTAGACTATAGACTAGACTATAGACTAGACTATAGACTAGACTATAGACTAGACTATAAACTAGACTATAGACTAGACTATAGACTAGACTAGAGACTAGACTATAGACTTGACTATAGACTAGACTATAGACTTGACTATACAAATAACAAGGTAAAGCTGAATTAGACTATAGACTAGACTATAGACTAGACTATAGACTAGACTATAGACTTGACTATAGACTAGACTATAGACTTGACTATACAAATAACAAGGTAAAGCTGAATTAGACTATAGACTAGACTATAGACTAGACTATAGACTAGACTATAGACTAGACTATAGACTAGACTATAGACTAGACTATAGACTAGACTATAGACTAGACTATAGACTAGACTATAGACTAGACTATAGACTATACTATAGACTTGACTATAGACTGGACTATAGACTTGACTATAGACTAGACTATAGACTTGACTATACAAATAACAAGGTAAAGCTGAATTTCTCTAGAGTATGACCAACCCTAATCCCGGTTCTTTAACCCTGATAAAAATAGTCTCGGTTGCAATATAAACAATTAAAATTCTTAAATTTTTTTTTTTTTTTTTTTGTAATATTTAATATTTATTAAGTTTTTTCTTTTTGTTTTTATTTGTTGTTTTTCCGATTTTTTTACAAATTAAATGTAAACGTTGTTGTTTTTTAAATGTATTAATTATTATTAATATTATTTTTTGTTGTGTTTCTTTTTTATATTATGAGCAATAATATTATTATAATTATTTTTATATTTATTTATATATTTTAATATATACTTTAAAGGGGGGAGTTTAAAGAAAGGAATTTGTTTTAATGACAAAATTTTTACGTTAAGGTTGTTTTTAAGGGGGGGTTTAACGTTTCAAGGATTACAAGTGGGGGGTTATATGTGGATATGGTTAACAAAGCTAACTAGAGACTTAATTATATAAGTTAAATTATGTTTTTTTCATTTCATTAATATTAAATATGTGTTTTTATTTAAAAAAAATTGTAGTTACAAGCTACAAAGCTACAAAGAGGCTTAATTTGTGGCTGAAGACAGTTTTTTTTTTTTGTTCTTTACGTTTTTTTAATTAATTTATTATTAAATATTTTAAACTTTGATTTTATACTTGGTTTTTTATTTGTGTGTGTTTTTGTGTATTTTAAATGACTATTTAGCAATTGTTTTAATAATTAATTAAATATAGAGTTTTTGTGTGTGTGTGTTTTTTTCTGTTAATTGTTTATTAATTTATTATTAATAATAAATTTTTATTTTTTTAAATTAGTTTTATATTAAGTAAATTTTTTATATAAAGAATGTTGTTGTTTTTTTTTCATTTAATATGTAATAATATTTGCCTTTTGTTGTTGTTTTTTTAATGCTATTTAGTACCTTTTCAAAAAGTGAGGTTATAGTTCTAAAGTAAAACGTATTTTAAATACATTTTTTAGTATTTGGGCCAAAAGAAAATTTTGATTTAATTTGTTAGTATGTGTGTGTTTAAATATAGTTTTTGGTTTTTAAGAAATTAATTTGTTATAAAAAAATTAATTTTAAATAAACTTTTTTAATAAAGAAATGTGAATCTCTAAAATGTACTAAATTTGTCTTCAAAAAGGTATTTCAACGTTTTTGACTGACATTTCAAAAAGTACTTTCTTGAAAAAGTACATACTTCCAAAAAGATTCTATTTGGAATGATCAATGTTGCTGTCTTCAAAAATTTATGTTTAACTTTTTTTTAAACAAATTTTAAAAAAGTACTTTTTTCAAAAAAGTACCATTTTTAAGAAGTTTTTTATAAAAGTACCAAAAGTATTTATATTAAAACTTACCAAAGGTACTTTTATAACACATAACAAAGGTACTTTTTTTAAAAGCGTACCAAAGGTACTTTGGTACTTTTGGTACTACATATTAAAACTTACTTTTATTCTTCGAAAATATACTTTTTACTTTATTCGCAAAATTTCATCAAAAAGTACTTTCTTCTTCTAAATACAAAAAGCTACTTTTTGAAGAAAATGTCTTCAAAAATGTCTTTCAACTAGAAAATTACAAAAAGTACTTTTTTGAAACAAATAATCACTACCAAAAACGAAAAGTACTTTTTGAAAAAAAAGTACTTTTTATAAATTTCAAAAAGTACTTTTTAAAGAGAAAAGAAGTATGTACCATTTTTATGAAGCAGAATACAGCAAAAGGTTCTTCAGGAAAATTACAAAAAGGTACTTTCTTCAAACAAATTATATTGATCACTACCAAAAGCGTACTTTTATGACTTTTAGAATAAAATTTAAAAATAGTACTTTTTTCAAAAAGTACCAATTTCAAGAAGCAGAATGTTTCGAATTGTTTGGAAATATAGCAAAAGTTAGGTTTAGAAATTTCTATTAAAGGTACTTTTGTAAAAAGGTACATCTGGTACTTTTTGAAAAAGTAGTTTTTTTTTCAAAGAAGTACAATTTTTTAACGAAAAACAAAAAGTACATTTTTTCATTAAGAATGAATTTTGGTGTATAGCTTTTTATTAAAAAGTACTTTTTCCCAAAATTTTCAAAAAATAATTTTTGGTACTTTTTTTTAAATTTATGAAAAGTACTTTTTTCAATAACATTTCTTTTGAAATAATGAAAAATAAGTTTTTCAAACATTATTAAAAAAGTACTTTTTTTAAACATTTTCAAAAAGTACTTTTTTTAAACATTTTCAAAAGTACTTACTGAAAAATAAGTTTTTCAAACATTATTAAAAAAGTACTTTTTTTAAACATTTTCAAAAAGTACTTTTTTAATAATTATTTAAAAGTACTTTTTCAAGATTATTTCTTTTGGGAAACCAATTACGATATGGAATGAATGAAAGAAGTTACTCTTTTCAACAAAAGTACTTTTTTACAAAAAATGTTCATAAAATTAATTTTTCGAAAAGTTATTTTGACGAAATATTACAAAAAAGTACTTTTTTGATTAAGATAAGTAAAGTTTTAGAACTTTTCTTAAAATTTATTACATGTACTTTTTTCAATATTTATACAAAAGTACTTTTTCAAACTTAGTTCTTCATCGAAAAGTCATAAAACGAAACAATATAATACGAAAGTTACAATAAAGTACTTTTTTTCATATATGATCAAAAAGTACTTATTCAAATTAGATCGAAAAATACTTTCTTTTTAAATGACAAAGAAGAGGGTCCTTTAAAAAAGGTGAAACAGTTTATAAAAGTACTTTTTTCAAAAAAATATCAAATGGTAAGTACCTTTTTAAAAAATTTTCAAAAAGTACTTTTTCAAAAAATTTTCAAAATTATTAAAAAAAGTTTGTTTTCAATATAAACACAAAGAGTTTTTCTTAAAAAGTACTTTTTAAGAGAAATTTTAAATTTTCAAAAATTTTTCAAAATTTAAAAAAAAAAAATAATTAAAAAGTGTTTTTCTAAAATATTACCATTTTTCTCAAAAAGTACGTTCTTTCAAAATGTTCAAATTATTTTCGAAAAAATGTCTAAAAGTGTTTTTTCTGAATTTTGGGGGAAAAAGTACTTTTTAACAAAATTTTCAAAAAGTACTATTTCAAAGAGCACTTTTTCCAAAATTTTTTTAAATTTAAAAAATCATCAAAAAAAGTTTTTTCTTAAATATTTCCCATAAAAGCATTTTTTTCAAAAAGTACTTTTTTTCAAAAAGTACTTTTTTTAAAAAACTCCAAAATTTCAAAATCTTCAGAAAAGCCTTAAAAAGTAAAAAAAAATTCCAAATATAATTAAAGTTTGTTTTTTTAAATCGTTTTTTATTTCATCTTAAATTTTGTTTATTTGGCGTCAAAAAAATCGTAGTAGTTATTTGTTTGTTTTTATAATACATACTTTTAAAGATACATATTACTTGATGGTTGCAATGTAAGCAAACGTAATAATTAATATTTTTATTTGTTTAATTTATAACTTTTAAAACATTAAAATTTGTAAGCATTTTGTAAGATATTTCTTTACTAGAAAAGTTTATCTAAATATAGCGTCAATATAAAATTTTTAACATAAATTTTTCGTTTTTTTCTTTGTTTTTTAATCTAAAAATCTACATTAATTAATAAATCGTATAAAAAAGGGCAGCAGAGAGGGAAAATATATATATATAATATAAAGAAAGGGGGACAGAGTAGAGGCAGGGGAAAATAGAAATAAATTTAAAGTTTAAAAATAGTAAGTAAAAAGTTTTAATAAAAATAAATTTCCAAATGGTTTTTAGGAAAAAAAAAAAGAGAGGGGGGAGGAAAAAATACTGTGCATTTTTAAAGAATTGTGTTTGTTGTTGTTGTTGCGGTTGCTTTTAGTTTTCATTTAGTTTTTTAAGAAACTCTAATTAAAACAGACCCTTCTTCTTTTTCTCCTTTTTACCATCAACATTATCTGTACTGCTGTTGGCTCCCAAAGAACGACGTTTCAGCTCTTCCAAAGTTATATGATTGACATCTTCCCATTCTTTGCGTTCACGCTCAAATTCTCGGCGTTTTTCTTCTAGCTCACGTATCTGTAGTTCAAGAGCCTTTTTACGTTCTTCATGTCGTCGTGCTAGCTCCAGCTCGGAATCTTTAAGTTTTTGCATTTTCTCCTTGACTTTCATATCGAACACCTGCTCCATTTCGGCTTCCATTTTCTTCATTTTCAATTCATGTTCCCGTTTTTCTTCCTCCATTTGTGTAAGAGGGTTTTTGTTGGAGAGTCGTGCCTTGCCATCGACTAAGCCCAGCTCGGAGAGTTTGCGACATCTATAGTTTTCATAGTGGACATTGTTAGTGACATCCTTAAGATCCTGCAGATGGGTGCGTATGACCATATTGCGTAAAGCTATAAAGTCACAGTGAGACAGATTCTCCACCTCCACTAGACCCCAGGGGTAACGTCGTCCTCGTACCTTCTTGCCATCAGCTAGTTCAACTATGGTATTGGCTCCCACCACGGCAAAAGGAACCCTTGAGCGTAGATTTTGTGTGGTTTTGCTGTCTTCGGCGGCATCTTCCAGGGTAGAGGGGAAATCATAGATTTTTATCTTGTGCTGGGCTATTTCATTGAGTATCTGCTTCTTGAATAAATGAACCTCATCAGGTGTCAGGGTATCGGCTTTAGCTATGACAGGAACCAAATTAACTTTATCCGAAAGACTTTGCATGCAAGCAATATCCAAGGGCCTTAAACCATGGCCCGTGGGGCCTATAAAATACAAGCAGCAGTGCACTCTATTATCGGGTATCTGTTTGCGATACACCCTGGACTCAGCGGTCAAATATTCTTCATACTTAGAGTCTACATATTCCAAAATGGGCACCCAACAATTGGTGTTATCCACACTGTCACCAAAACCAGGAGTATCCACCACGGTAAGGGTGAGATTGACACCATTTTCTTTTAGTAAAACCTTTGTGGCCTCTACAGCCACTGTTTTCTTTTTTCTTAAAGAGGGTCCCGGATATTGCTCTGAATTATAGATGTCCGATAGAAACATGGAATTGATAAGGGTAGACTTACCCAAACCACTAGCGCCCACCACCATTAGAGTAAATTCAAAGCCTCGTTTGACGGCCTTACGATACACCTGATTGGGCAGATTGGCGAAACCCACATAACCAGCTATTTCCATGGGTTTATTGCGTACTGGCAGGGGAGGCTTTTGCTTTGGTTGTGTCAATTGCTGCTGCTGCTGTTGCTTGTTTTCCTGTTCTTTTTCTTGTAATTCTGTTGACAACTTATTGGAATCATTATGGCCTACATTATTGGCATCAGCATTACCCGCTACACCACCATTGGCTTGTTGCAGCGCATTGGCTTTGGACAAAACACTAGTACCAACACCACTGCCTGCTAAGGAGGGTGGCAGGGTGTGGGGTAAAGCCGGGGCAGGTTGTTTATCTCTCAAAGCCAATTGTGCCAAAGTGCTGGGCAAAGAGGATATGGCTCCATTTGTTCTTGGGCTGTTTTGCATGGTTTTTCTTTTATTATTTTTTTATCTAAGGACAAACACAAACACTTTTTTCCTTATATTTTAATTTTATTACTTTTTATATTTTCTTTTGCTTTTTATCCTTTTTATATTTTTTTAATTCTTTTCCTTTTTTTTATTATTACTCTACTCTGTAATCACTTCATGTCACACCTAAATTTCTGCAATTCCTTTTTGTAATTTGTTTTCTTGTCTCCTTTTTTTCTTGCGTTTTCAACTATTTCATTACATGTTTCTTTTAAACTTTTATGAAATAAATTTGCCAAATATTTCGTTTTCTTTTTACTTATTAACAATTTTCTTTACTTTTTCTTTGTTTTATTCTTTAAAAAAGTTATTAATTGTTGTGGTGTCTTTATTAAATTTCAATCTGCTTGCAATCCAAAGAAAAATTTCACACAAAATGCGCTTTGTAAAGTGTTTTCTCCAACAATAAAAAAACAACTAAAAAAAATAATAAGAATTTATAACAGTATCGTTAACAAGAGACAACAACTAACAACAAAAATGTCAAACCATTCGCCTTACACAAGAGTGAGTGCATAAGCTATAGTCTCTCTGCAAGTATTACTCATTTTTATTTGTTAACTTCTCTTTTGCGTTTATCTTTCTTTATATTATTTTTCATAAGTGTTTGTATGTACGAGTGTGTGTATGTTTCAGTTTTTTTTTTTTTTGCTGGACGCTTGTTTTTGCTGTTTCTTGTATTTTTATTATTATTCCAGATGTTTAAAATAAAAGCAAATATAGCAAAAATATTGCCTGGTATTGCCAGACCAGAATTGTTTGCTTTTTTGGAGGGAGCTAATGTTATTTATGAAGAAAATTAAATAATCAAGAAAATCTTTAAATTTATGAATTAATAATGAAATAATATATTTAATAATGACATAAACTATGGGTAAAAATGCTATTTAAACAATTATATGTTTAATTTATAGTTTTATTTAGAAAAATAACTTATATTTTCCGGCAACATAAGAAAATTTGACTAAAAATGGTATTTATAGGAACAATGTTAGAAAATAATGGAATAAATATAATTTTAATTGAAAAATTTTTTAAATGTCGAACGAACTTTTAATTTTAATGGAAAATTCGAACAAATTTTAAAGGTTAGAAGAAAGTGTAAACTAACTAACTAACTAACTAATTAACTAAAATAACTAACTAACTAACTAACGAACTACTAACTAACTAACTACTAACTAACTAACTAACTAACTAACTAACTAACTAACTAACTAACTAACTAACTACTAACTAACTAACTAACTGAATACTACTAACTGACTAACTAACTAACTAAGCTAACTAACTAACTAACTAACTAACTAACTAACTACTAACTAACTAACTAACTAACTAACTAACTAACTAACTAACGACTAACTACTAACTACTAACTAACTAACTAACTAACTAACTAACTAACAACTAACTACTAACTAACGAACTAACTAACTAACTACTAACTAACTAACTACTAACCTAACTAACTAACTAAACTAACTAACTAACTAACTAACTAAATAACTAACAACTAACTAACTAACTAACTAACTAACTAACTAACTAACTAACTAACTAACTAACTAACTAACTAACTAACTAACTAACTAACTAACTAACTAACTAACCTACTAACTAACTAACTAACTAACTAACTAACTAACTAACTAACTAACTAACTAACTAACTAACTAACTAACTAACTAACTAACTAATTACTAACTAACTAACTAACTAACTAACTAACTAACTAACTAAACTAACTACTAACTAACTAACTAACTAACTAACTAACTAACTAACTAACTAACTAACTAACTAACTAATACTAACTAACTAACTAACTAACTAACGAACTAACTAACTAACTAACTAACTAACTAACTAACTACTAACTAACTAACTACTAACTAACTAACTAACTACTAACTAACTAACTAAACTAACATAACTAACTAACTAACTAACTACTAACTAACTAACTAACTAACTAACTAACTAACTAACTAACTAACTAACTAACTAACTAACTAACTAACTAACTAACTAACTAACTAACTAACTACTACTAACTAACTAACTAACTAACTAACTACTACTACTAACTACTACTAACTAACTAACTAACTAACTAACTAACTAACTAACTACTACTAACTACTAACTACTAACTAACTAACTACTAACTAACTAACTAACTACTACTAACTAACTAACTAACTAACTTACTAACTAACTACTAACTAACTAACTAACTAACTAACTAACTACTAACTAACTAACTAACTAACTAACTAACTACTAACTAACTACTAACTAACTAACTAACTAACTAACTAACTAACTAACTAACTAACTAACTAACTAACTAACTAACTAACTAACTAACTAACTACTAACTAACTAACTAACTAACTAACTAACTAACTAACTACTAACTAACTACTAACTAACTACTAACTAACTAACTAACTAACTAACTAACTAACTACTAACTAACTAACTACTAACTAACTAACTAACTAACTACTAACTAACTAACTAACTAACTAAACTAACTAACTAACTAACTAACTAACTAACTAAACTAACTAACTAACTAACTAACTAACTAACTAACTAACTAACTAACTAACTAACTAACTAATTTTCCAATAAAACTTAAAAATTTGAATTTTAATAAAAAAAAATACTTTTTAATTTTTAATAAAAACTTTTAACTTTTAATAAAAAACTTTTTAATATTTAATAAAATCTTTTTTAGTAAAAAATTTATTTTTAAAGAAAATTTCGAGAAAAAATTTAAAGTTTTTGTATTTTTATATAAAATTTTGAAATTTAAATACAAAATTTTTAAATTTTAATGTATATTTTGAAATTTTGATTTAAAATTTTGAAATTTTGATTTAAAATTTAGAAATTTTGATTTAAAATTTTGAAATTTTATTGTAAAAATTTAAATTTTTAAAGCAAATTTTGAGTTTTTCGAGAGAAAATTAAAAATTGAATTGAAAAGTAGTTTTATATTAATTTAAAAAGTAGGTTTAATATTCAAATAAAATGTTTAATTTTCAATAAAGTATTGAGAAATTTGAAAGAAATACTTATGTATTTTAATTTCAAAAGGTTTAAAATAAATTGACGATATGTATTTTTAATTAAAATTTAAAATTTTTAATAAAAATACTATTTTCTAATAAAAATATGTTTTGGTAAAAAAATCGTTTTATTTTTAGTAAAACATTTTATTCTTTCTACGCCAAAAACCTTTTCAAAATTAAATTAAACGAAGAAAATGTAGGTATAAAAATTAAACAAAACAATAAATTCTTAACAAATTTTAAATTATGGCAATACTTTTCCTTTCATCACTCCCCCACAAAACTACAGCAAAACTAACGGTTAAAAGAAAAAACAATAATTTCACCAAATTTTTACTACCAAGTGTCTCATTTCTTGACCACTATTAATTTTATTTCATTTCTCGTATTTTCTTTCCAAAACTTCTCATTATTTTCTCAACAAAAATTAACTTGTCCCATAAAAGTTAAAAAAGTACCGTTGCACATACAATGAGTGTATGAGAGGCCTCAAAAAAAATGCAAAAAAGAAAATATTAAAAAAAACAACAACAAATACGCATGCTCAGAAATAAATTCACGTTTCTGGCGAACAACAACCGTCATTTACGTGAGGTGAATTTGTAGGTTTTTCAATAAAAAAAACATCTACAAATATTTCATATTGTTTATTGTTTTATGGAATATTTAGAACATTAATAAAACAAAAATAACCAACAAAATGTAAACTAATAAGGTATTATGCTGGAATTGAAAAAAAGTGTTAAGAGAATGAAAGAAAATACAAGTGATAAAGTGTTTTTTGTTAACAACATTCCCATTTGTGGAAGGTAATAAGAAGTGAAAGGAAAAAATGGTCCAGGGCCAAGGGGTAAGCAATTATTTGTTGTGTTATCTTCTTTACGGATTTCTTACTTTTAATGTGTACAGTGAAGAGCAAAATATTAGCACTGAAGTGTTATCAAGTCAACGTAATCAGTATTTGGTCATAGAATCCAGGGTAATCCCTATCAAGGGGTTTTCTTCGATTCTTTCTATTTGTAAACGGTCAAATAGGTACTTTCCATCTTGAAATTCTGTTTTCTCTCTGGTATAAGATTTTCGTTAAATTCTTAATTTGATTATGTCTATGCTTGAATGATGTCAATCGGAATAACATTAGACAACACTTTCCAGATATCTTTCCAATTCACCGGTTGAAATACCACAAACGTGATCGAATAAGCTCTCGTATCGAAAGCACATTTCGATGTCGAAATTAAGCCAAAATTTACGAGATTTCAATACCGAATGCCATCATCTAAGAAAGGAAAACTACGATCAATTTTACTCGATCTGTTTCCTCCTCGACTTATTATCGTTTCTCAATTATTCGGCTAGTGCTTAGCAGTAGACAACTTTGTTCAGAGATCTTGGTAATTCAAATAGAGGATCAATAGCATACATTTTTGTTGGGAAGAACTTCGTTCTCTAAGTCCTCGTACTCTTATCGGATATTTTCTTTAAGAACATCAGAAGATGTTGTTTTCTTTATATGAAATGAATCGAAGATGATATCGATCATGTTTTCACAGTTAATCGTTTAGTTGAGAAAGAAAATTCTTCCAATCTTGGATATTTTCATTGGGAGGTCCCATACATGATGTTCAAAGACTTGAACGTTAGAAACGATCAAATGAATTGATCGCAGCACATATCTGATCAAAAGGCCGACTTTTTCTTTTGACTTGAAAAGAACCGTGAACTAACATCTCATTAAACAATCTGAACGACGGTTGCAAATAACTAAAACCATTCCAAAACGTAACTCTTAAAATATTCAAAATTGCTCAAGTCCATCTTGTTCTTTATCGCTTTTTAGAAGAAAAATCAGAGAGAGAATATCGTTAAAGAGAAAATACTTTCAGTTCTGGAGACCATTTAACAATATTTTCAATAGTTCCACCGAGAAGATCTTTAAGATCTTTCAGTCGCTGTTGTTTTTAAGATCTGTTATTTCAACGAATCTCAAAAATAAGTCGAGAGGGCATAAAACCGATCAAACTAACGGTCAGAACAGTATGATGGATATGGTGTCAATGCTGAGGACTACTTGAGATCTTTTTAATAGTTCTAAAAAGAACTTCCACAAAAGATCTTTCTGTAGCGGTAGTTCTTTAAAAAAATCTCTAAGAAATAATTAAGAAGTGATCATAAAAGACATTGTCATAAATCGAAGGTGTTATGGGTCAAGGGAACGGTTCCAATGCTGATGACCATTTGAGATCTTTCTTATACATTTTTAAAAGATCTTATGAGAAGTTTCGGAAGTCGGTTTCTTTCTGTCATTCGTGCTAGAGAGATCCTGACAATGTCATAAATCTAAAGTGTTATGGGTCAAGGGAACGGTTTCAATGCTGATGAGCATTTGGGATCATTCTTCTAAATCTTAAGAGAAGTCTCTGGAATCGGTTAATTTCTTGCAGTCGTGCCAGAGAGAGAAAAATAATATAGTTAATAAGAGTTTCAAAATCGCATTATGAAATAATGGATTAGAAAAATGCTCCATGATCAGAAACAGACTGGTTTCTAGACAACTATTTCTGCTCCGAAATGACTCAAGTCTTCTACAAAAGTATTAACTCGGAAACTTTATAAGATGTCATAAGGATAATGGATCTTTACCGAAATGATGAACTCAACATCTTATCTCTACTTAAGTTAATTCAAAATTTTATATAATCTTATATATAGAAACCTATTAGAAATTTCCAGTTTTAAATAACTCCCAACCACTTGAGAAAAATATTCCCACTAATAAATAATAATCTTATTTTTAATCTTCTCCCCACCTCAACCATTTATGACATTCATTAATTTTTATTTATTTAAAAAATAAACAAAAAATTATATATAAATTAATACCTTTAACTAGCAACACTCCCCCCTCTTCGCCTCTGCACCCCTAACAACACCCTAAAATACTTCAAATACTTAGAAATATTTTCACACATTCCGAAATACAAATCTTTGAAATTTCACCTCTTAGCTTTTCTTACAAGAAATACAAATTTAAATAAGACACCAAAACCTCCCCTGTTTAAATGACAAGGATCATGTGTTTATTCCCTGATTACCTTGTCTTCGCCTGCAACATTTGAATATTATCATAATTATTATGACTTTTCTTCAAGTAAATGTAATAAGGGTGCAGCAGTTTGTGTAAAAGTTCCCAGGCTCTCACGTGTTTGCTGCGATAAAGTTTTTCGGAATCCTTGTTTAAAATAAAAATACCTTTGCAGATGACAACAACAAAAACAAAACTAAAATTCCCATAGTTATACGATCACTCATAAACATTACAGTTGACTATAGTTTGCGTCATTTGTGCTAGAAATAGGGGCGTCTTTTTGCTCCTTACGTCTCGTCTCGTCAACGTCATCATTTTCATATGCTTTCAGTTCAGTGTCCTTACGTTTGTATGTGTTGCATGTGAGTTTTTGTTATAAAAGCAACTTCCTTAAGTTCCTTCCGCATTTAACTAACGCGTTTAGTTTATTTGTCCATAGTGCTTTTTTATTATCGCGTATAGTAACTGATAATGGTGGTGGTTTTTTGTTGTTACTCCTTAAGCAAGTCCTTGTGTGTGTGTGTGTTTGAAGGCCTGTGTATTGTAATGTGTATTGACTTCCCCCTTTTGCACGTGGATTAATAAACATTATAGTTAAAATTATTGCATTTAGAAAAATACCTTTACTTAGGTGATCGTGAGAAAAAGTTTTTCTCACATTCTATACCTTGAAATGAAATTTCAAATTAAATTCAAAATTGTTGTTGTATTCCTAGTAGTAGTTGGGTGGTTTTAAAGGAAAAACTGTACTTAAACAAGGATTGTTAGTTATATCTTGAAAAGTGGTTAAAGTTTTTGAATTGAGGGTTTGTTTTAGTTGTTTCTTTTTTGGCGAGTAAAGGTATGTGTGTGAAGGTTTTTGAGTGGGTTTTCTTCTAAAGGCTTTGTCATGTTAAAATATAGTGTGGGAATCATATAACAGATGTTTGTGTAAATGATCAAAATGGAATTGCTTTTTTGGGTTCAAGAATTAATTTGTAAAACATGTTAATTAAATGCCCAGGATTTCATATTAACAGTATCATGAGTAAGCAGAAAGTTTGTTTAAGGAAAAGTAAACGCTGTGTGAACTTTTTCATAGAGCAAAATTTGGATCATGAATCTTTAGAATCTTTGGAACAATGCTAAATCTACAGTTTCAAAAGGTTCATTGAAATTGTGAATTCTATAGTCTAGTTTATAGTTTAGTCTAGTTTAGTCTATAGTCTAGTCTATAGTTAAGTCTATAGTTTGGTCTATAGTTTAGTTTATAGTTTGGTCTATAGTCTAGTCTATAGTTTGGTCTATAGTATAGTCTATAGTCTAGTCTATAGTCTACAAGAATTTGCCAGAATTTAAACATTTATATAGTCTATAGTCTAGTCTACAGTCTAGTCTATAGTCTAGTCTATAGTCTAGTCTATAGTCTAGTCTATAGTCTAGTCTATAGTTTAGTCTATAGTCTAGTCTATAGTCTAGTCTATAGTCTAGTCTATAGTCTAGTCTATAGTCTAGTCTATAGTCTAGTCTATAGTCTAGTCTATAGTCTAGTCTATAGTCTAGTCTATAGTCTAGTCTATAGTCTAGTCTATAGTCTAGTCTATAGTCTAGTCTATAGTCTAGTCTATAGTCTAGTCTATAGTCTAGTCTATAGTCTAGTCTATAGTCTAGTCTATAGTCTAGTCTATAGTCTAGTCTATAGTCTAGTCTATAGTCTAGTCTATAGTCTAGTCTATAGTCTAGTCTATAGTCTAGTCTATAGTCTAGTCTATAGTCTAGTCTATAGTCTAGTCTATAGTCTAGTCTATAGTCTAGTCTATAGTCTAGTCTATAGTCTAGTCTATAGTCTAGTCTATAGTCTAGTCTATAGTCTAGTCTATAGTCTAGTCTATAGTCTAGTCTATAGTCTAGTCTATAGTCTAGTCTATAGTCTAGTCTATAGTCTAGTCTATAGTCTAGTCTATAGTCTAGTCTATAGTCTAGTCTATAGTCTAGTCTATAGTCTAGTCTATAGTCTAGTCTATAGTCTAGTCTATAGTCTAGTCTATAGTCTAGTCTATAGTCTAGTCTATAGTCTAGTCTATAGTCTAGTCTATAGTCTAGTCTATAGTCTAGTCTATAGTCTAGTCTATAGTCTAGTCTATAGTCTAGTCTATAGTCTAGTCTATAGTCTAGTCTATAGTCTAGTCTATAGTCTAGTCTATAGTCTAGTCTATAGTCTAGTCTATAGTCTAGTCTATAGTCTAGTCTATAGTCTAGTCTATAGTCTAGTCTATAGTCTAGTCTATAGTCTAGTCTATAGTCTAGTCTATAGTCTAGTCTATAGTCTAGTCTATAGTCTAGTCTATAGTCTAGTCTATAGTCTAGTCTATAGTCTAGTCTATAGTCTAGTCTATAGTCTAGTCTATAGTCAAGTCTATAGTCTAGTCTATAGTCTAGTCTATAGTCTAGTCTATAGTCTAGTCTATAGTCTAGTCTATAGTCTAGTCTATAGTCTATTCTATAGTCTAGTCTATAGTCTAGTCTATAGTCTAGTCTATAGTCTAGTCTATAGTCTAGTCTATAGTCTAGTCTATAGTCTAGTCTATAGTCTAGTCTATAGTCTAGTCTATAGTCTAGTCTATAGTCTAGTCTATAGTCTAGTCTATAGTCTAGTCTATAGTCTAGTCTATAGTCTAGTCTATAGTCTAGTCTATAGTCTAGTCTATAGTCTAGTCTATAGTCTAGTCTATAGTCTAGTCTATAGTCTAGTCTATAGTCTAGTCTATAGTCTAGTCTATAGT